TATAGACCAGTTAGTCTGACCTCAGCAGTAGGGAAATTATCGGAAAATACTCTGTGGGACAGGATTAATTAATACTTGGAAAGGCAGAGATTGATCAGGCATAGTCTGCACAGGTTTGTTAAAGGACAATCCTATCTGACAAATTTAATTGAGTTTTTTGAAAAGGTGACTAAATACATTGATGCCAGTAGTGCAGCTGATGTGGTTTACATCGACCTTAGTAAGGCCTCCACCACCAGGCATACTGAATAGTGCCAAAGGATGTTTTCTCACTCTTCCTGCCCTGTTTTGTCTTAAACCAAAGTTCTTCTTGCTCTCACTCCCTTTTGCAAATGATTCTAGCATCTGCTGTCACCTGAAAGTATTGCTCTTCCCACATTAAAGAGTATCTGTTTAGCTTTAAGAAATGCGGATTGCTTTAAGTGGTGCTAACATTGCCCAAACTTGGAGCCCTTGTTGCAGCATGCAGCTAGTCAGCAGCATATTTAGCGCTGGGTTTTTTGTCGCTATCATGAAAATTAGCAGGGTGCACAAAATTTGTGTACAGCCCACATCAGAATGGCGGGCATCAATTAATTATACAATACGAGTGAACTCATCTATGATCGGGCCCTGTTTAGTGGTTCAGCCTGCAGCCACTTTAACATCTTTGGAAATGTCTTTCTGAACTTTTCTCTTAGCTACTTCTCTTTGCTTCTGAAAAGGTTTACTTTTGATCATTTAACTCTTTCACCACAGCCAAGCAATTGCTCTAACCAATGTGAGGCATCTTGGAATATCTATTAGTTAATTCACGCTGTAAAAATGAAAGTTGTTGCCATAGAATGTGTCCTATGCAAAGTGAAGATCCCTCTTGCCTCCAAACACAATGTACCTGGACCACAAACTTGAAACAGAAGACAAAACAAGATTACATTGACACCTCATGCCCTGGTCCTTCAAGGACAGCGCAAGTAGAGTCAAGTAGGAGAGGGGGTCTGTGCCATATTGCCAATGTGTTCCTATCCTCAAGCCTACCACTTTACACACCTTGAAATCAAACACAAGGAGGCTTCTTACCTCAGAAGAGAGAAGGCCTCATTGAAATAACAAAGTTGCTCCTCAAAATTGAGTCATTTTGATCCCAGGATACCAGAGCAGCTCGCACAAGATACCCAGTGCAATGCTCCTACTGGCTTTAGAAAAAGACCAGTCTTTCCCTGATTGTGAACCTGCTCCTTTCTCTCCTTGTGTTTGTGTGGATCCCAGTGGGAGCCTAACCGTCCCCCAGATTTCCACACCAACCAACTATATTGGCCTTCTTCCTGTTTGTTCGAGGTGCAGTCATGGTCAGGCATCCACATGAGAGTTAAAAATCATGCTGCGCACTTTGGCCTCTGAGATGCAGTTTTTAGCCTGAATTAAAATGGAGGACATTTTTAAAAGTATTTCTCCAATCAAGAGGATTAAATAAAAAACATAGAGGGTAATTTAATCACTTGCATCGAAAGAAGAATGTGTTATGGAATGAAAGACATAACTTCACCATCATATCAAACTCTATGAAACTGATTTATATCCTGCAGAGAAATATACTTCAGATCCTAGGTCATGGATCAATAATAAGTTAAAGAAGCCCATTTGTCTTCTTACTAAAACTTTCAGTATCTAGGTGAAGTACAATTAGATTATAACAAAACAAATAACAAAAAAGATTCATCAGACTGAGATCTAAATTAATTATTTCTTTTTTTTAAAACTACAAGTGATTTCTGCATGCTTCTGTTTTGTAAAGCTTTTCATTTTGTATTCTCTTTGCATTGGCAATCTATTTTCACAACATTGTTCAACTCAATAATGGATTTAAATCAGAGAATTGAGAAAGAGGTTTCCAAATGAATGCAACTAAATTTATTTCTTTTGAAATATCTTGTAAACCATTGTACACTTTCATGGTAGCCTAACACTTCTACACTGAATTGAACAATGAATATTTTTAATGGAAAGGACAATGGGAAAAAAGCTCAAATGTTGTAAATTTAAAACAGAAGATTTTTTTGGGGGAGTGGGGTTACTTCAACCTCCCAATGCCCTGGTCTTCAAAACTTCAATTCTTTTTGTGATTTTTTTTTGCTCTCCCTTTTGATTTTTCACTGCTTTCTTTCACTGAACGTCTCTTTTCCTTGGCAAGGGAGATTGAATGAGCAAAGAACTTGATCACACTTGCAGTCATCACCATTCCATGATCAACCCTGATGATTAACCTAATAACGTCCTGTCAGATTTCCCATGCTTCATCTTCCCTTGAAATGCAGCCATTTATGTTGGTAGTCATAGATCAAATTCACACATTGATTTCAGTCACAATGTTCCGATCCCAATTCAAGGCATGAATACAAAAAAATCATGGCTGACACTCCAACGCAGTGCTGAGGGAGTGCTGCATTCCTGGAGGTACCATCTTTCAGGTGATACCCAATCTGCCTACTTAGATGCATGTTGGAGATACAAATGCACGATTGCAAAGAAGAACAGGATATCACAGCCAATAATAATCACAGAATCACAACACTATTACAGAGGACAAGGAGACCAATCTGCCCATCTTAACAGCACTAGATCATGGAATGAGCATTTCACTTAGTGCCATTCCCCAGCCTTCTCCCTGTAACCCTGTACAATCTTCCTTTCTGATGACTGTCTTGTTCACTTTAAGTGCCTCAATTAAAGCTATCTCCACCACTCTCAGGCAGCAAGTTCCAGAACTTAACCACTTGCTGCATGAAAAGCTTCTTCCACTTGTTGGCTTTGAAGCATCAATTATTTTAATTCTGTCTCAATTTGTGTTACCAGTGAAAACAATTGCTCCCTATTTACTCTGTCCAGACCCCTCATTATTTCACAATCAACATCAAAAAGACAGATTATCCGCTCGCTATGACATTGCTGTTTGTGGGACTTTACTGTGTCATGGCTTTTACATCACAACAGTTAACACACTTCACAAAGGACTTAATTGACTGTAAAGGGAGGCATCCAGTTGGGTGTGAAAAGTGCTATATAAATGCACAGGAGAGGTGATGGCCTTCTGGTATTGTCATTAAACTATTAATCTAGATACCAGGTAATGTTCTGGGGACCTGGTTTTGAATTCCACCATGGCAGATGGTGGTATTTGAATTCAATAAAGAAATCCTGGAATTTAGTGTCCAATGGTGATTGTTGTGCAAAAAACCCATCTGGATCACTCATGTCCTTTAGGCAGGAAAACTGCCATCCTTTCTTGGTCTGACCCACGTGTGATTCCAGACCCGCAGCAATGTGGTTGACTCTTAACAATTAGTGATAGGCGATAAATGCTGGCTCGGGCCAACACCACCCACATTCTGTAAATGCAGTTTTTCCCTTTTCTTTGTCAACTCTCTATATTTCACTTAAGCATTGAAAACGGACAAGTTGTTCCCGGGTGTAATCTGAGAGCCAAATTCTGTGAAATTGGAAGAGTCAATTTTCTCAGTTCATACCTTTAACAGGCATCTGATAAATAGATTGTCTAACATTTATTTAAGACCCAAGATTCAGACCTGCCTCATTTAGGATATGACAAAGCCCCAGCAGCCATCTTTGAAAGCCAAATTTAAGAAAAGTATTCAGAGATAGTAGGAACTGCAGAAAAACTTTCTGAAGAAGGGTCTAGGCCTGAAACGTCAGCCTTCCTGCTCCTCTGATGCGGCCTGGCCTGCTGTGTTCATCCAGCTGTACATCTTGTTATCTCTTATTTTAAGAAAAGTATGTTTTCTCAAAAAACTTTTTTCTACTTTCCTCTTAGTTCTACAACCCTAACTGTAGGATCCGAGGTAGCAACAAATTTCTTACAACTGTACGGCACCTTGGTTCTGTCTACAGGATGTTAATGACAGTGAAAGCGCAGTCATAAAAAGCAGCATTCAGGTAACAGTGATAGGAGAACAGTTCTTCAGTAACTTGTGAAGATTATAATAAAGGAGAGGCACGACAATAAATAAATGATTTGAAATTGTTAACAGTGTTGCATTTCTGGACACGATTACCTCAATATGATGCTCAGACAGTCAATATCAGAATGTGTTGATTTATATTCATTGTAAATTTCCATTGGTAAGAGAATGATTATAGGTACAAATTTCAGAGTGAGTTTCATTTTAAACCAAAATGTAATGTCTTTTGTATGAGTACAGGCAAGAAACTTTAGTGCTATGTCTTTTAACATGCCCTTATCTGATCATTTGATTGATTTCACAACGGGGTAGGAGGAATCAAAGAACAGAGTACAGCTACAGTCTATGCAGAGAGATTTGAAAGAAATTTTCAAATAACAATGCTAATCAGTCCCAAACCAATTAATCTGTCAAGAGAAAAATTATAGGGAACACTAGGTCTCATTAAAAAAAATCTGAAAGAGGCATACTTGTTTTAAAGTGCACTTAAATGCTGAAGCATATTGCTGTCAAATTTCAGACATCTGGGTGTAACTATTCACTGAAGTAAGCCAGAGGCTGATGGCAGGCAATTCAGTAGTTTCTAGCCAGATTCAACATTACAATATTTGACAGTGACACTTACTGTTGCCAGAAAATAAGAAGACCACCGACAGAACCAAATGCAATCTCGAATTCCGCTGGTTCATGTTACCTTTACAGAGAGTGTGCATACCCAATTTTATTCTGCTCTGATTTCCTCCCTTGCTCAAAGAATCGTCACCATTTCCTGTTTCCTGTGACTGTTTCTGACTCTAGTATTACTTCAGGAGCTGTTTTTGAATGATCTTTTTGGGAAGTGATGCAATGTAACCTGAGCTAGCTGCTGTGACAGGTTGATTAGTTGTGAAAGTGGTTTCTTTCTTATTCATCTGCTTGAAAGTGGCTCATGCTGGCTTTTCAATGAGATCTTTGTTAAAATGGTCCAGCTTATCCATACCCCTAGAGGAGATATATCTTTGTTATCCACTCTAGGTTGTGAACACATAATGCAGTTATTTGGTCATAAGAAGCACTACGCTATAAAATGTTTTGATAAACTTTTAATACGGGATGAAGAATATCATGCCAATTAATTAAACTCATTGCTTCCTGCCATTTAAGAAGGTCACATATATCAATCTTTCTTCCATAAGTTATCCTCCAGGAAAAAGAGCTTAAAATATAAACTGTTCAGATTATTGTTCCACAGTTTTTCTTAGTTTGATGTTATCTTCATTTGTCTTTCTTAGTTATAGAGTCATAGAGTCATACAGCACAAAAACAGACCCTTCAGTCCTATCAGTCCATGCTGACAATAATCCCAAACTAAACTAGTCCCACCAGCCTGCACTTGGCCCATATCCCTCCAAACGTTTCTTATTCATGTACTTATCTAAATGTCTTCAAATGTTGTAATTGTACTCGCATCCACCACTTCCTCTGGAGTTCATTCTACATACAAACCACTCTCTGTGTAAAAAAATTACCCCTCTAGTCTTTTTTTAAATCTTTCTCTCCTCACCTTAAAAATATGCCCTCTAGTCTTGAAATCCCCCATACTAGGGGAAAGACAATTGCCATTCACCTTATCTATATCCCTCATTATTTCATAAACCTCTATAAAGTCACTCCTCAACTTCCTACATCCAGTGGAAAAAGTCCTCGCCCATCCAGCCTCTCCCTATAATTCAAATTGTCCATTCCCGGCAATATCCTGGTAAATTTCTTCTGAACCCTCTCCAGCTTAACAATATCCTCCCTATAACAGGAAGATCAGAATGGGACATAGCACTCTAGAAGAGGCCTCACCAACGTCCTGTACAACCTCAACATAATGTCCCAACTCCTATACTCAAAGATCTGCTCAATGAAGGCAAGCATGTTAAATGCCTTCTTAACCACCCTATCTATATGTGATGCAAACATCAATTTCTTTGAACCCTGAACCCTTAGGTCTCTCTATTCATCAAAGCTACCCAAGGCTCTACTTTTAATTGTATTAGTCTTGCCTTTGTTTGTTTTACCAAAATGCAAGGCATTTATCTAAATTAAACTCCATCTGCCACTCCTCAACCTATTGATCTAATTGATCAAGATCGCTTTATAATCTTAGATAACCTTCTTCACTGTCCACTATACCACCAATTTTGGTGTCATCCACAAACTTACTAACCACGCTTTCCATATTGTCATCTAAATCATTATATAAATGACAAGCAAAAGTGGACTCAGCACCGGACCCTGTGAAACATAGGTCTCCACTCTGAGAAACAACCTTTAACCAGAGTGGCATGTTGTCGCTGACTCATCTATTTTAGGAAATCAAGAAGGTACAATTGTTTGGAGCATTGGAATGTTTTTTTTGCAGCGGATTGTGAAAGTTGACACATAAACCTGAGGCATTAACACTACGGGCTGAATCTTACATTTTTTAGTTAAGTCCAAGTCATGTCATGTTTGGTAGAGAGATTCTCACCGTAAGGCTGGGAGCATTTTCTTGCCGTATCTAACCAAAGGCAAGCACTGGTTTGTGCTTGAGCCCTCACAGCAAGTATGACAGTCAATTTCTGCCTCATTTTTCCATGTACCAATCCCGGAGAATTACTCACTCACTGGATAGCCCAGCATTCACTAATATCCCTTACCCTCCCATTATCTCTGTAAAAGGCCATGTGAATCCTAACAAGCATCATCAGTTTGGCACTGCCCTGTGTTATGGTCCTGACACTAGCCAGTACTTGGCAGACATGAGGAAACCAGGGTCCAGGAGCTCTTGCTGCGTATGGTCCTCCTCCCCCCGGACCAGCAGTGGAGGCATGCCACCAGCCCATGCCAGTCTGATCAGAGGTTAGAACCTGGTTTGAAGCAGCTGTCTGTAGAAATGCCCAAAACTGTAGGAAGTTGGTCAATATCCTTCTCCACTCAACTAGGTACATTTGACCATCTTCTCTCTAATACCTCACCCTCACACTATCTCTGTCATTGTATCCATATCCCACCAACGCCCATACTCTACCACTCTCACTATCGCTGACAACACCTTCCCCACTTGCCCTCACCCACCACAACCCCTAACATCATTAACCCTGCATGCCCTCTGCGCTGTCTACTCACACCCACAGGATACCTCCCTACATGCACCAACAGTAACAGCTGTACTACGCCCTTTCATCTCCTATAATACCTACGCCTCTCAGTCCAAAAAGTCAATAGTCCCATTAGGGCAGAAAGACACAAGAGAGATGGTTTACTGCCCATTATTCAGCTCCTCACCCCTTACGAGGAGTATATTCTGACACTGGCCAGCCTGAGCAGGCCCTGGAGACTGCCCTTGACCGACGGTGCTGAGATTCCCTGTAGAAAGATTATCCCCCTTTACTTGACTGTGTCCTGCTGACAACTGTGACATGGTTCCTTCCATTTACTCTGCGCTAAACAGCCTGCAAAGACAGCAGTAATATGGGCCTGATTCTCTGGTTGAGGGGACAAAGGGTAAATAGGCAAAGCAGGGCCTCAATGAGCATCTGGGCGGACCCTGAGTGAGTGAGTGCAATGACAGTGGGTGTAGAGCCTGGAGCAACCTGACAGCACAGTGACCTTGCTGCAGCATTACAACGACGGTTGCCTTTGTAATCACAGGTACAGCACTGAAGTGTCATGTACGTAGCTTGGATATGATCCACAAGGTTTCTTAGAGGCTGACACTGTAGGCAGCACAGTGGCTCAGTGGTTAACACTGTTGCCAGGGTCCCAGGTTCAATTTCAGCCTTGGGTGACTGACTGCGTGGAGTTTGCACGTTTCCCCATGTCTACATGGGTTTCCATTGAGTTCTCCGGTTTCCTCCCACAAAGCAAAGATCTGGAGGTTAGCCATTGGCCATGCTAAATTACTCACAGAGTTCAGGGATGTGCAGGCTAGGTGGGTTAGCCATGGGAAATGCAGGATTACAGGGATAGGGTAGGGGGTGGATCTTAGCCAGATGCAGTTCAGAGGGTCCGTGAGGACTTGATGGGCCAAATGGTCTGCTTCCACACTATAAGGATTCTATGATTCTATGTTTGTGAGTGTGGAGTGCATGTGGCTAGTGCCTATGGAGTGTGACCCAAGATGTTGGTGACCAGTGTCTTATACAGACCAAGTGGTGAGTTCAGCCAAGAACCTGCTCCGGTTTCCATGGTGAGGTTACCTGACGGCCAGTTTGTATGGCCAGTTTGGTAAGATTGCCACCTGCGGGGAGCAATCCAGTTGAGTTGGGCTGTTAACTACATGTTTAACAAACAATAAAGATCATCCACTGGAAAGTCGGTGCTGCCTAGTAAGAATCTCACCAGGCCGCTTGGGAAAAGCAAACAAGATACAGTGAGATGATCATGATGTTGAGATGGGCCTCATCAAAGGTTGTTCCCAATTCTTAACATGGCTCATGTCGCTCAAAGCTCAACAAATTCCACCCTGAGGGTACAATTACCAAGTGACATGTTTGGATAACTGTGTGTACAAGACAGGCAAGTTTAACCTTCGATGATTTCTTTATGGAGCTGAAGCCTTGAAATCCTCACCTCTGCCCTCTCAGTGGAGGTTGTGAGTTGTCTCCTCAGCTGCCCAAGCCACCGATACTTGGTGCCATTCTCTTGCGTTTGGTCTTAATGCAAACCCACCATATCACATGTAAACCCACTCGGAGCAATGGATCCTCAGAGGATTGTCCTCCTCCAAAAACCATTAGGAAGCCCTTGCTGCTGAGAAGGACCAAGGAGACAAGGAAAAAAATTTAGAATTGAAGAATTAGGCTAGATATTTACCAGTGATTGTATTGAGAGTACAGCTTGAAGTTGTAAAGCTTGCTTCACTTTTACCCACTGAATTAAATAGTGACCAGTTATACTCAGACATGTTCTTAAGATAAATCAACATGCTCTCCTCCTCTGATACTTGGAGATCTGCACATGTTCCTGATCTCAAGGTTTCTTCTGCTGCCTTAGTAAAGGTAAATGATTGGATATTCTTTCATCACAGCTCTCATGAAGAGAAAGAGAGCTGACAGTTAACGAATGGCTGTTGTAAAGGAATGTGGAGATGCCTGGGGTTGTATTTCTGATGTGTGCAGTGAGTGCTGTAGGAGGAGCAAGACAGAAAAGGGTTGAGGAGATGGTGAATGAAAAGCCAACTGTATAGAAGTGAAATCAGACAGGGACTCTGAGAGGAGTTGATCATTTTGCACATGCTCATGAGTGAGAGTAGAATGTCATGATGGATAATGGGAATAGATTGCTTGGTGAAGGGTGGGGCAGGAGGGAGTTTTTGTCTGTTGCTTCTGAGAGAGTGAAGAGCTATACTTACCATTTCTGCTCTTGTGAAAGCTTTGAACCTCTTGGTCTGTGTCCACAAAAACAGGAGAGTTTTGTGAAGAAGGGGAACTCCTTGTGACTGTTGTGTAAGATTCTCCACTGTTCTTCAGATGAGAACAAATGGATTGTAACTCGCTTTCTTACTGACTTACTGTACCTGCATACTAACTTCTGTGATTCATGAACAGGACACCTAGATCCTTCTGCACCTTCAAGCTCTGCAATCTCTCGTCATTTAGACAATATGGCTCTTTTTTAATCTTCCTTTTAAAATGGATGATTTCAAATTTTTCCACCTTATATTCCTTTTGCCACATTTGGGCCCATGTACATAACAACCTATATTGCCTTGGAGCCTCCTTTGGGTAGAAATTTCAACTACAGGATTACGAAACTCACTA